CAATCCCCTGAATGCAATAGTCATGAAAGATGAAAGTAGCGCACCGTGTAGTGGTACATTTACTAGAGCCACAATGACGGTGTTGTGTAAATGTCTGATGATCCAAAGGTGGGGCAGATACTGAAACTCTTTCGAGAGACAGGAGCACGGAGGGACCACAAAGGAACCAGCAGCTTTATACTTTTTCACTTAGAATGGGTTCAGCTTATTTTATTTTTATTTATTTATTTCCTGGTGCTGAGAGTTAAACCTAGGGCCTCTCACATGCTAGGTATCTGCTCTGCCTTAGTCTACTAAGCTATGACTGCACCGACCCATTATTTTAGTTATACTCTTTGGTAGGTACATATTTTTAATAAAGTGCATGAAAAGTCACAACATGTAGCGAAACTTTCAATATGACTTCCATCACAAAAACAGTAAGCAACAGACATGATGTGTACTATGGAATAAGCATGTTGGATGACTTTTTAAATTTTCATTCTCAAAACAGATGGAAGGTAAAAACTATTCTTTTTTTCTTTTGACAGATGATAAACTTTAAACTAAGACAAGAATAAATTTGTCCACAGTCAAGCAGCCAGCACGTCATGCCACTGGGATCTAATCCTAGGCACAGTTCTGGAGGTGGCCATCCTAACTGCTAAGCTATACCTAGAGCTTGTCCCCAGATTTAACTCTGTGTGTCAGTGACAAAATGAACTGCTTGATTCCTGCAGTGATGGTGTGAGTGCAACACAGAGGTTGTGGGCCTTCCCTCGCTGAATGGGCCAGCTCTCACCGACTTGTGAGGCTCCACCATCCTTCCACGTGGTTCTCCGAGGATGAAATGCTCCTTGCCTTTCTACCAGCAGTCCAGAAACCTCTTAGAGTAATAAATCGTGTCTGTGAAGCACCTGCGATAAGTTGGGCGTGTCAACTCATCTGATCTTCATAAGCACTGTCCGCTCTGAATGAGGCGCAGGGGTCCTTCTCACAGGTGAGAGAAGCGGCTCCTCGAACACGGCGTCCGGAGGGGACACTTCTGATGCGTGCAAGAAGCAGCAACATTTAGAGCTGGGTGCACACACGCTTCAGAGCTTGTGCTCTCAGAGGCTTCTTGCCTTCCTTGAAATGCCATATTTAGGGAAAGGGGAGATAAGGAAAAGAAAAAGCAATCTCACTTTCTAATAAAATGTTGTATTGAATATAGTTACTATCATATAGAATGCTTTAAAGATGCCTGCTCGCAAATGTGTATACTGTTAGAAAATAGGATGGGTGTGCTAGGGGGAAACATGGCGGCTTCATCCTGGGAAAGGTAAGAACAACGTAACTGCACTTAAGGTTGTCATTCAATTTAATTTAGTTTAATTTAATTTAATTTAATTTTGTATTTTACAGAAGGGTCTACAGGGCGTTCAGGGTCTCACTACTAGATCGCACTCGTAGTGATCCCCCTGTTTACAGCCTCCCAACTGCTGGGATTACAGGCACGTGCCACCACGCCCAGTCTCAATCGCCGTCTCAGCACGTCCCGTGGGCAGGGCCAGCACCGCAGGCCAGGGGATCCAATCTCTGGACCCTGCACCTGCTTGCGGGTACTTTAATCCGCTGAGCTATTTGGCCGGCCCTTTCATTTGATTTTGTAATAAGTTCTGTGGCTTTATTTTGTCTTAAGCTAGCAGACCTTGAGTCGCTCGATTCTCAAGTATTCTCAGTCATTTTTAGGATAAAAGTTAGTTGCATATTAATGAAAATTTGTGGGATTCTCATTCTCTATGAAGTCTCAGCATAAAAAATATTAAGTTGAAAAGCACACCTTCATTGCCTACAGAGAGGCTAGTCACAGACAAATAATTACAATGAAATGAACACCAGCGGATGTGTGTTCATTAGTAACGAAACCCGACATTTGTAATGAGACTTACACAACCTTGGAATAATAGATGACTTCTGAACCAGGCTGTCCAAGGCACTTGTACACTCCAAGAATAAAAGTGGAAAGGCTTGCACTCCTGGGAGAGGGTACAGGAGGGTCGAAATGCATAAAAGAATGCCACATGTCTGTTTGTTGGTTACCAGAGTATGAAAATTGTTTAAAGGACATGGAAAAAAATGACCCTGGAGTGTCCAGTTGGGGAGAGATTATGAAAGTTTTTGCCTGACTCCAATGTTACTCAAGACGACAATAGGCAATTTTAAAAGATACCAGGTGGAGGATATTTGAATAGTTTAGTCAAATAATAGAAAGGGTCTGATTTAGGCTATGCTATGAAATAAGTGGTATGTAAGACTCATGTTAAAGATGAGATAACCAAGGCTCACAGGACTGAAGTCCAGCACTGAACAGTTGATCAATGGGAGTTTGGCCAGGCTGAAGAGCATCACGGGACTCAAACAATGGTGAAAACTAGAGTGGCCGAGAGCCTTTATCTTGAGGTTAGTAGGGAGCTTTCCTGCTAACCACCACATAGTCAAGAGGAGAAACAGACCAGGTAGCAAATCAAGAAGTTCAGTTCCAGACATAATTACAGAGATCTTTGAAAGCCAGGCCAGCATGATAGGCAGCTGTAGAAAATGCCAAGAGGGGTCTTGGGGAGAGAACTAGGCAGTCTAAGTGCCTTCCTGGCATGAAGAAGGACCCAGATTCGATCCCCAGTACCACATGTCATGCCAGCCCTGCCTGGATCCTCGGACACACTGAGCAGGCCACGGAAACCGGGCATGGTGGCACACATACCCATAATCCCAGCACTAGAGAGGCTGAGACAGAAGGATCACTACAAGTCGGAACTGTGTAGTGAGACCCTGTATCAAATAAATAAACTAAAGATTTTTTAAAACAGAAAAAAATGCCAAGAGGATGCTCAGCATGACCCAGACATGAAATACTATTGCTAAAAGGATATCATTCCATCCACAACTCTCAACCTGATGATTCAGGCCACGAGACAACTGGGAAGGCAGCTCTCGAGATAAACCTATACTCAAGTGCTTGGGCTCTGTATGTTCTTAGACAAATTTCTTTCCCTTTCAAGTGAGAGATTTAGTTCTTCATTATAAAGCAGACAACCTTTCATTTACTACTTGTTAAAAAGAGGAAAATGAGTATCTATCTAAAGCACCCAGTACATTGCTTTCCAAAAGTAAGTGCTCAATAAATGGTAATAATGATTATTATCTTTATCAGCACTTAAGAGATTTGTTGAAGGTGAGGCTAGAGTGTAGGCAACACTCCAGGTTCCTGGCCCAATTACTGGCTTGGCAATTGTTTCCCATAACATTCTCTAAACTACATAAAATTTTCACCAATTTTTCAATCCAAGAAAAGAAGCTCCTTTTGGGGAACATTAATTAGCTTGTAAAAAAAAAAAAAAAGGATTCTTGTTAGATTAAAAGATAACATCGAGAATCATATAAAAATTATATACAAGCGAACATTATAAAATACTTTGATAAAGTACATCACCTGGAAATAAATTGCATCATGTCTTCCTGATGTCTTAAATGCTCAAGGCATATCTATGGTGTACACGTATCATGTAAAGAAGAATCGTGGCAGGAAGTCCACAGACAACATTTCCTCAGCCAGGGCCGTCCTGCTCAGGGTTTTCAACTGTAACAGTATCTGTATTTGCAAAGGGAACATTGCCCTAGAAGGTCAGGCTTTCAGGAATCACAGAAAATTTTCAGATCTACAAATGCAGCCGAAAGTACTTGGACATAGAAATAAAGTACAAGCCTTGAAGATTGAAGGATATGTGCCCATCTATTCATCTCTGTGTCATTCAGAACTCCTTTGGACATATTTTCTTTGGGATTCAATGTGGTAACTAACAACACAGCTATTTAGTCAGAGACCTTGAGATTGAAAAATTACAGTGGAGGGGAATTTCTGGTAAAAATGATATATTACACACACACACACACACACACACACACACACACAGGCACACCCAGAGGTCAAAACAAATACACTTAAAAAAGAAAAAGTGGACATTGGAGATAAATGAAATTTATTGTTTAATTCGATTGCCTCTACGATAATGTTTACTAAGAATGTGAATGCAAGCAATGTGGAAAATATAAAATACATGCAGGGGGAGCAGTGCCAGCCTCATCCATTAGAAGCAGGAGAGATGTTTCAAGGCAATTTTTTTTTCTTTTTTCCTTTCCCACTAAGGATTCTTGGCATCCTCTGCTCAGATTTCTCAGAACATGGCTGCAAAACCTCAGATCCCACTGGTTCTCCCTCCTTCCATGTCCTTATCCCTGCCCGTGCTTATCTGAATATATAAGCCTGCCCTTTGCTCAGATTTATGGATCCAGTCAGGGCTGTGTGTATTTACAGTGTTCTGACCTGAAGACCCTGGACTGAAGAAGAAGAGGAGGAAACTGGGACCCATTCCATAAACAGAGACAAATATGAGGGGGAGGTAGAAGGCTTTGCTAGCACTTAACATTTTTAACTATTGGCCAAGCTCAAGAATTGGTGATTAGATTAAAGGGAAAATGAGAGATGTGAGTGCGGGCTTGGAGAGAGTAAGATGTGTATTTTTGCTCTAGTCTAGTTCTTTGGTGATTCTGGGTTTGGGGTGGGGGTGGGATTAAATTTAATGCAGAAGGTCAGAAAGAAAATTGATAAGTCAGTTACAGAGGGAGCTATAAAATGCTTTGGGAAGGCCGAGGGTCTGCAAAGATGAGGATATAAACAACATTTAATAAGTCAGAAAATTTCTCCAACCACAAGTTGAGCTCTTGTGTGAAGCAAAGCTAGTTGCATTTTTTTAACTGTAATTGGTTATAGAAGAAAAATCTCCTGCTTCATGCTTAAATGAGGACGTGTTGCTACAGATTACCAAAATGCAATCAATTATGAGCTGAACTATTTTTCTTAGGGCCTGGTGGCTCACTTAAAAGCAACTGCATTTTCAAACAGGACTGCTTCATAAATGGGCCACTCATATGGGAAGCGGCTTGCGCCTCTGAGAGATACCTGAACCCATTAAAATGAAAACCAGAGAACAGGTGAATCTTCCACAGGTTGTGGCACCCCAAAACTCAATCTGTCTTCCCCGAGGGCGCATCTTTGCTCCCTGGCAAAAGATACAAGTATAACTTCTGCTGGGGACCTTTCTCAAGTAATTTGCTTTCTGGAAAAGGATTGAGTTCATGGGGAAAAATCTGACCCACCAACTAACTGAATCAGAAATAATCCAGTATATATTATGAGTAAAGGATGTAGTATTCATCCTATTATGAAATGCCACAAAGCAACAGGACAACATTGTAAGTGGAACATGATTGCTTCATACTAAAATGGGTATAAAGAAGTGATTGGATGACATCCTCCACAAATCACCTTACATTGCAATAGAGCAAACAACTGTGATGTACATGATGAAGACAGTAATTGGAAAATTTGCAAAATAGCATCATATTGTTCTGTTACCCATCTTAATCTACAGCAATCGGGTTCTCATGATGTTACTTATCTCTTAAAGCTAACATAATCTGCTCTCATGATATTGTTTGATAGGAAATTTTTTGTTTCACCTATACCTTGTAATTATATTTTCAAGCAACTATACTTTGTTTAAAATATACTGTGGATAATGTGCCTTTGATTGAGTTATGACTAATGATTGCATAAAAAATCATATATTGTTTCATGCTGTGTGTGGCACTTTATAAATGCTAAGTTGTTTATTAGTATTATATTATTATTCAAATCATTTGTCAGGAAACCAAAAGAAAAATTAAGTCCACAAGTGAATTTTGGAAAAAATTATAATAAAAAACTCACATAAAAGCATTTTCTTTTCCATTTATGTGCACCATTTGATGCTAACAATCAAACATAAAATTCAAAGTAGCAGAGTTAAGGAAGGCATTGGGTGATTATGCCTGTTCAGGCTGCCTACATAACGGTGAAAACTTGAGCAAAAGGTGATGAATAGCAAGGAGCTTTCCTAACAAGGCTGCATTTCTAAAGTGAAATGAAATACACAGCGTTCTAGAAAACTAATTTCTCCATTGCCATCATTTTTGAACTTTCCCCTAAAATAATGAAACTTCTGCTTTGTAAATAATGCATGCTTAGAACAAATGCAACTGTCTGCAGACGGTCTCACTTAGAAGGATTTGGGGGGACAGTTACATCACAACTAAAACGTGTCACAGTCTATTCAGATTCGCTTGCCAGTGAAACGATTTTTTTTTTCCTCTACCATGGTGTGGATCATAGCAACAGTGGGTTCAGATAGAGCCATTTCGGAGCAGAGACCTAGCTCCATGTGCCAGGAAAAAAATGCACGCACCACAAAGAACACTGAGATGAATGGCTCTATTTTATGAGCCATAAAAGTTTTATTCATCTTGACACTGAAACAGGTTTAGGCAGTGAGTTGACACGCCTTAAATAAATAAGTGGAATTAATTCTCCAGCGCTCGAAACAATAGCAGCATGCATGTAGCAGGGAGAAATGCCCCATTGTTTCCCGTGGCTGCCTGATATTGATATTATTTGTGTTTTTCTGCGCTGCTTCCTCAGGGGCCTGGTTGATCCACTTCAGATTCATCCCCTGTTTTATTTGAGGTTGAAAAAGGTTCAGGACCTGGTTGTACCACAGCTCCCACCGACAGCTAAGGAACCAGTTTGGCGTCTGGTTTATCTGTTGTTTTACTGCTGACCTTCAAATCAACTTTAACCCCTGACCTCTGGAGACATCTATCATGACAAGAGGCTGTTTAACACAAATGGTGCCCATTTATAGGGGAAGACACTCAGAAGATTTCCTTTTTATGAAGAATTTAGTTTTTCACCCCTCTTTTCTCAGTCACCACAGGTGAAATCCCTCTTAGCAGCTGGCTTATGAAATAATCTGAAGGGAGGCCTTAATGAGCAGAAAGCACCCTCAGCTGGAGATAAATATATGCAAATGAGATGCACAAACAAAGGAGCCTGGACAGAGAAATATCTGCAATTCCAGCAAAACGCTGCCTGCAGCTCGAAGATGAACAGCTTTGATAAAATGGTAACAAAAAGCACCTTTTTATCCTCCAGCGTGTTTTACATTGCAATAGACCATTGTCATTGCAACCCAGTGGAGCATGCAGAGGTTTTCTGCACTGTTTCAGAAAACTGTTTAAACATTTGTTTTAAGGCATTCATGAAATATAATCAATGGACTGCTTCTTTGTTGTTGTTGTGATTTTTTTTTTTGTCCTGAGTGTGTTTCAGATGTTACTGTAGTTATTTTACCTGTTGGTCTTTTCGTGGTTTAGCAGTGCTGTCTCACTGAGCTACTTCACATTTTGGTGTCTGTTTCTTTCACTCCTCAGAATTATTCTTCTTTTTTTCCAATTTCAATGGAGAGAGATTTCAAGTTAATAATTAGTAAGAGTCGGCTTGTGCAGCACCCAGACAACTAGTTTTAATGATCGCAATCAAGTGTATAGAGCTAATTCCGAGACAGGCATGTAACATGCTGATTTTAATAAGCTTTAAAAAGGCAATCTCTAACTTTTAAAAGTCTCTTTTTAATTTAATCGTCCTTGGTTCATATGATTCCAAAACAAACAAAACCATTAAAATATGTTTTCAATATGCATCCACAGTATTATTTGATGATGTTTTAAATTAGCATCATGTTGGTAAAATATTGATTGGATGAGCTTTAAAAATGGAAAAGCTGAAATCATCAACCTATTTGGGAGAGAAAAGAACACTATTTGCTAAAAATGAACAAAGCCTCAGTCCAAAGATCTTGCCAGAGAATGACTGGATACGTGACGCGCAGACTGCCACATCGGGGCTGTGTATTTTGTTTAGGGGACCAGTCAAAGCAGCTAAGGTGAGAGAAGAAGGTTATGTGCTTGCTTGTGGCAAAGCACTACCCCTCTAAAAGCACAGCAACGTTTGGTCCTTTCATTTAGAACACAATCCTAGCCTTCTGCAGCTGAGATATATGAGGATCTTTACACCTCCTTTCCCTAAATTATTTCATCTTGGTAGCCAGGATCACAGCGCAGACATTTCTTCTGAGTCGCGCACAGCTTTCACGGTTTATGTGCATTTCATCAGGCAAATGTCAAATTTGCTAATAACAAGAAAAGCTCATTTTTAATCATGCCACTCCTGTTGCACGGGCTGGGGTGGGGGTTGGGGGGCAAACAGGAGGAAGAGGACGCATAAAAGCATTGAGCAGTGCGACCAAAGAGGAGAAGGAGAAAAAAAAAAAAAAATTGCTTATTCGGGCTTTACAACGACACGTGTACAGTTATCTCAGTGTCTGTATCGGCGCATCATTAAATTCAGAATTTCAGGAGTTAATAGAAACTTGGTTCTGTTAGGGATGTTTTCTCCAGCCCAGGTTTAGAGCAGCATAATTATGTTCAACTGCTGTTGTTTGAAAGGGCAGACAGCATCTTAGGCACAGAACAATGAAATTACAGTTGAGATTTAGGTTAGCAAAAGCCGTCTTCTCCTGGCTTTTATGATTCATTATTTCCCATTAAATACAGTATTAGAAGTGTACACTAGATAGCTCATGGTTGCTGCTCTCGGAGCACATTATCTATATTACACAGGTCTGGGGAGCAGAATTAGAAAACTTTGGGGGAATGAGCAATATGTGTTTGCTGATAGAAGTACCATATGGCTCATCTTCTTCAATTGCTTTCATTGCGACTCTGATGCTGGAGAAATTAAAGTTTTATTTGATGTGGCACAGCTTAATGAACTGTCTTCTGTTAGGAAAATTGAATATGTTTCCTGTTATTTGAGCACAGAGCCTCCATGGTTTGGCTGATGAGGGATGCATTATGTATTGTTTATTTAGCATTTTGAAAACAAAAGCAAGATACTGAAGGTAAAATTGATTACTGCTGGATTGCATTATATAATCAGGTTTTCTCTCCTTAAATTTCCCTTTACAATCTTCTTATAATGTTTTAATATAAGAGTGTTCCAGGTTTTTGTTTTTCAAAGGACATAGGGCTTGATTTTATCAAAATACATTTGCTTGTCACTGAGGTACAGGAAAGTCAAAACCCAGCACTGTTATATTTATGAAGTTTGAAGAAGGGTGTTTGGGAAAAAAGAAATTAATTTTGTTTTTGTGAATCAAACTGCAAAACTTCTAGTGAGCCCCTAATTGGTTTTGACAGGCTCTAACCTTATGGCTACTAGGAAAGGGTTGTCATTTTCTTTTGTTTGAAATAGACCAGTTAAGAAAATGCTGGGATGGGGCCATAAGAGAAGGAAAAAGATGTTCAATGTTTAGAAATACAAACTTCAAAATATAAAGTTTTAATTTTTGAGTGAGTTGTCAATAAATGTAAGGCTGAACTTGACCTGTGCATGAAAAGAATGAAATTATATTCCATGGATTTAGATTCTTTTATTGAATACACATGATGAAAGGAAACATAATCAAAAATATACTTACATGCTAGAAAACTAAGGTATCAATCCATGTGAATGTTCTCCACCCCCTGAAGAATCTATAAAGAGAAACATCTAACATTTGGTTTAATGCCTTCATTTTTGTTCTGGATTTGATATTTTTGAAAAAATAAAAATCTGAATAATCTCTAAAAAGTCAGACTGTAAAATCATGGTCTAATCTCTGCACTGTCCCTTTCAATTTTTAGTGAGAAGTATGCCTCCCACATGCTGACGGCTCAGGCATACAATCTGCACCAAGCAAGCAGGATGAAAAATAGTTAAAGGGAATCAACATTTATCTGGAATATACAGTCCCACCCCCCCTTCCCTCCCTCTCCCTAAAAAGTCATTTGTCTTCTGTGTTCTGAGATGTTTTGAGGATTCTGGCAAATAGGGCAGTTAGACAAACTTTTCGCACAATCTAAATACTGTCTGCCCAAGAGAGGCTTCCAATGTTTGCAGTCCATAAGGAAAGAAAAAAATCTGGTATGTAACCAAGAATAGTGCTCTTGAAAATGTCTCTGAACAAAGTGCTTAAGCAAAAGTTGGGCCGCAGATAGTCTTGCTCAATTCTTCCTCTGTTTTTTTTCCCACATGAGGACCTTTCATTTGCCACTTCTTGTAACATTTTTTTAAATAAACAAATAAATTTTTGAAAAAAAAATCTGACTCGGAGACCTGACACTTCCTTTCGAAATAGTTAAGAGGAAAACATCCCATTTTTATGAACCCCATCTCCTAACAGGGGCCTGAGAGAAGGAACCCCATGATGCATTGTTATCAGCGTGGTATAATTTGACTGTTGACAAAGTATCCGTGGCAGTGAGAATGAGCACAGTTAGGAGTGTGGCGGATTGTAATCAAGAAGATGCTTAGCTGTGCAACGCTGCATCTTGAGCAGATTTGAATCAACATTGCCTTAAGGGGACACACACACACACACACACACACACACACGTACCAAAAGAAAAAAATCCATTAATTTTTAGAGGGAAAATTAGAGTGGCAGTTGATGAAGTGAAATTTGACATGCGTTAATTGCTCCACAGCTCTTCTAATTAAAGATCTTCAAATTCTTTTACTGCTGTCACCATGATGGCCCATTGTCTTGCTGGACAAATACTAAAATTACAGATAGATTTGAGCGGGAAGTTTTGCGTATAAAGATCGGACTGTGTTCGCTGAACCACTTCCTTGAGGTAGAAAACCAGACATCAATGATGACTGTTAGCTTTACCTCCACCCCAGGTACAAACACAAGGCTAATTAAAATAGTTTCATTATGAAACAGGTGCTGATGAGATTTCCTTAAGCAGATGGAAATGTTCCTCTCCTACACAGGCCTCTGCGTCACGAGATATTTCAGGTGGGAAAAAGAGCAAGTGGAACGCTAGGTTATGTAGACATTCTTATATTTCTAGTTATATTTCTTCAGAAATTGGAAAGAGGCAGATTTTTCTCAAAGGCTGTGTCACATTTTTCAAAGGTATGAGTCTAAGACAGCAGCTCTCCAGGTTCCCCTTTCTTGTCTTAAAGTAATTATACTGCTATTTGTACCCCAGTTTGTCACCAGATATGATACCATTAAAATTTGGGTTTTCTTTTTTTAACCCTTCTTGTCGAGCCCTTCCACCTCTCTTAATTCATTAACATATTGAATTTTTTCAATTTTCCATTTTCTTGCAATAACAATATTAATGCTGAGGTGAAAGCTTGATTGAAGCTAAATTACTTGTTACCTGCTGGCATTTATTTATATGGCATTGAATTATAAAGCTTTGCTATTGTCATGCCTTGGGCGAATTGTTTATGACACCAGTAATAGGAGTAATTGTTATTGTTGAAATTACCTGTCAGCTACCCATAGCAGTGGCCCTTGTCCCACTGACAAATAGTGACAAGGGAGAAGTATCCTCCACGCGTCCCCCTGATGGCTTCTCCGCTGATAATAAGAAGTGCAGGGCCTCTGATAATTTGCCTGTCACTGTTGAGTGCAGCTCAGAGAGAGTTGGCCAAATTGTTGTCATTCACTTTGACAAAGACAGCAAAATGCTCCTGTGCAGGAGGAGGATTATCAAAATAAATGAAATCACTTACACCCCTTTGTTTGTTTGGCTCAAGAATTGCCTGGCTTTGTATGAGTCTGTGCAATCCAGGTTCAGTTCTTACGGGTGCGCCTGTGTTCTGGCCAGGCTGAGGGTCCCTAGGAAGGAAAAGCATGTTAGAAGACCTGCTAGTTTGCCATTTGCATTGGTTAGTAAAAATTATATTCAAATATAAAGTCAATAAAATTATAAAAACAACTGCAAACACGTGCCTGAATGCATTAATTTAAACCCATATAAAATGCACACCTTGACTAGGCAAGGCTTCCTTTAATTCCTCTTTTTTCCCTCTTTGGCCACTGCAGGTTTTCAGATCTCAAAAGCCTCCAAACCTGCACAAATTTTCCATTTGCAATTACGTTTTCTTTAAAAGTTTAGAATTCTGCTTCCTTGACTCTAGCAGCTTTTAGAGATTCTACAGTCGAATTTAGGATTATTATTGTGAATGGTTGGTCCCTTTCCATAAATTACCTTTTGTTTACACATTATCTTTACATGTAAAGAGATAAATGAAATGTAGCTCCAGATATGAAGCATCAATTATCACAGGCTTCCAGAGAAAGCAAAATGACCCTGTTATTGCGAGAGCTCAAATATAAATATTTGCATTTTAAAACTCCTTCACTGCAGCCTGTGAACCTGTCATAGAGAGAAGAAGGGGGCAGGGTGGGGGCAGCGGGGGACGGTGTCCAGGGGTGTCTGTCGGGGTCTGAAGAAAACACAGTTTAAGCTCATCGAACCTTTCTTCTAGTGCAAACCAGAATCATTGTCACCTTTCCACAAAAGGCATCCTTTTATGCTAGGGAAATTCTTATTTTGAAGATGCCTATGAGGTTATTTCTCATAGATCTTCTTGACAAATACTTGCTGTTAGGAGAAGTCAAAAAGGAAAGGAAAAAGTCACTAGGAGAAATGTAAAATATTGGCTCCTTATAGGATAGGAGTCAGTTGTTTATTGGTCTCTACCAGACGAGTAATGACCAACCACGGTGTTAAGTGCCAACCCTGTTGCCTGGGGCCCTTCCCTGCTAACACCTGCCATTATCTGATTAGAGACGCTCCAAGGAAGTCGCTATTGCATAATTTTATGGGTCTTACCATTAACAGTGCAGGTTGGCTGGCAGAAAAACTACCTAGGAGGGTTGATAAAGCAACAGTGAGACATGATTTTATTTACTCCACTTACACCTTGCTCTCTGAAAGTGTATATAAGTATTTCAGACGCTGGAGGCTGTAGGTGAAACCTAACATGGCTTTAAGTAGACAACAGGCAGAAGCCCGACCTTAAAGGCTTCTCCTGGGCTGTAGAGTTTGAGGTAATGAGCAGTACTGTTAGAGGCATCGAGACTCTTCCTTAGTTGTTAAGTATTTAGCAAATAAATAGGTTTGTTCCGGTGCTAAAATCATACAGTTCATGTGATAATATGATCGGAATAAAGTGTACTTCTGATCCTTAATAATAATATAGTCTTCTAAAGGCAACTACTCCATGGTTAACTATGTTGAATGTCCCTGATTAACAAGTGGAAGGCAGTGACATAATTAAGAGGTTATCTGCAGTAATAAAAATGCTCAAACCTGTCTTGGAAGGCGATTCCTTCAACAGATAATTTTTAAGAGTGTAGTATGCTTTTTTTTTTTTTTTTTTGTCTGTCATGACACATGTTAGTGATCCCTGGAGAGAAAATAAACATACGTTTTTAAATGAAGATATTTAAAGTGTACCCCATATTTCAATGTGTTGCTGTAACCTGGTCTTTTTATGTTCCTCCTATAAAACCTAAATTAAGTCTCTTAGGAGAGGTTTTGCTGCAGGTTTCATCTAAAAACACAATACATTTTAAATGGTCCCAGTACTTGATCACACTTTACCACGCAATCACTAATGCGATTCTCCTTTCCTCTTCCAACCACCAGCTTTGAGCAACAACAAAAGAGGCATCTTTGAAATTTAGCTTCATTTGAAATGTAAACTTTCAGCAAATAATAATTACTCCTGTAGCCTATTGATGAAGCGACTGGCAGCACATCTTTCCTTTCCCTTTGCTTCTTTCCCCCTCCGTCTCTCATGTAACATTTTGAAACACCCATCAGTGTCAAAGGAAACTGAACACATCCCCTTTGCTGCTCTAAATAAAGCTCAGCAATGTTAAGAAAAATGTCAGAAAAAGCTCAGTGGATTAAAGGAGCATTCCTGCGCCATGTCAGGGAGGGTGGCAGGGTGGACCCGTCTGCATAATTCTCAATTTTTTCTTTTTTTTTTTTTTTTGTAAAATGCTTTCAACGAGAAAGGAGATTTTATTTGGAAAGATTTGATATGGTATTTGGGTAACATACAACCTTCAGCTATTTTTCTAAATCTCGTTATTCTTTAATAAGCCTTTGGTGTGTGTGTGTGTGTGTGTGTGTGTGTGTGTGTGTTTAAATTACAGCAATAATACACTCTTTTTTCTCTGGAATGTTTCTTATCCCTGTGCAAAGAGAAAAATACATTGCAGGACCGTCCATGTATTTCTGTTTGCTTTCTAAAATTCTTGGGATATTCACTAGGCGAAAGCAGAGAAAGTGCTGGGCTTTTACCTCTGCAGATTTGTCAGACTAATCAATTCTTTTCCCCCTTAAATAAAATTTGTGCAGAGCTTTAGAGATTTACAGACAGTTCATTATATTAAAAAATAAAGCATTTACATTTGATTCATATATTACAAATAAATGATTGGTGCGAGGTTTTAGTTTATTCCATTCTATTTTTCTAAAGAATATTCAATAACCACAAAATTTATAGTTGTAAAATATTCCATAGTGTCATAGCTATGTAATTAAAACTTAATGGTTAAAGCAAAGAAAATGCCTTACAAATGCAATATTAGATATCACCCCAGAAATTGCAAGTCTCATTTGCACAGAAACAAGGTAAATATCAGCTGATTTTAAATATAAACTTTTCCAAAACAGGTTAAAAACGAATTTAGACAAATTTGGCTCTTAACCTTTAAAGATTTCCTGCCTGTTTCTGTATGTCCTTTATTACATTAATTTTTTATTTAAATTACACCATTAACTGGATATGAATTTATCAAGAATACATGTATTGATTTATAAAACAGTACCATTAATTATTATAATAGCTAGATGTAGCTGATATTACAAAGCCATTTAAAGGTTTTTAATATAACTTGGACTTACATAGATAGATAGACATTATGGGCAGGACTACAATTTAAACTGGCTACCAGCAGTTAATGAAATCCTTGATTTATATTCTAGTTTAGAGATTGATTATATTGTTGCTTTGTAAAACTATTTATATTATGCCATTTTTCAAAGGATGTCTCAATAAAAAAAGCTAAATAAAATATTCAGTCAATTCCCAAAGCAGATTTTGTTTTCTATATTTTAAATGCTAGTGAAAATAATTGATTGTGTGTGTTCCAAGCTTTGTCATTTCCATTCCTGAGGTGGCTTTCCTGAAGGGAGCCTCTTTTGCATATGCAGACTTTCCATCCACTTTTGATCCTTAGAGAAACAAGCCCTTTTCCTTCATTTTTCCCCCTCCCCAACAGAACCCTGTATATTTCACAAAACCCACACATCAGGACACATAAGTCTTTCTGGCATCTTTTATGTTATGCATTTTTTTTTCCTTAAGGTTGTGGAAAACTGGGACTTACCCCAAAGCCGCAAGGCAGGCAATCACGTAGAGTATTTGGGTAAGAATGCAATCTGAAGAGAAAAAAAAGAAAAGCAGGAAACATATAAGCAAAGAACAGTAACACTTTCAAATTACTTTTCAAACGGTAATTAGCCAGCAACTAGATTGAAAGTTAAATTCTTTTCACATTGGACTTGGTTTGGGTCTCCTTGTCTCTTTATTTATATCACTTTTCCTTGCTTGGCAACATATGTTACCGATTTATTATAATATTTTTACTGTGAGCAGACAAATCTAAAGGCTAGCTGAGAAGGCTAGCTTCATCTGATGAGTTTAACAACTACTGCAGGGCATCCTCCAGGGTGAGCCAATAGGCTCTTTTGAAGCTATAATACTATTAACCATTTTGATGCCGAAATATTTCTTATAGCCAAAGTTGGCTCAGCCTTTCTGTGGGCACCTCGGGTTTTACATATACTAAAGTTTAACACAAATGCAGTGTTTTGTAAATATTTCAGCAGTCCTTCACAGACTTTGATCTGTTGGTCTCAAATCCCCTAAAAGCCACGGGAATGCACGTGTTTCTTTATTTCACCCTTCTACTATAGGACACTGTAATCTATGGAACACATTTGTAAGCAAACAGCTAGGAAGCGTCAAGTCAACTTGTCACCCCACCCTCCTCCTCCCAGGCCATTAATTCTCTTCTATGCTATGAAAAGAAACAAACATCCTTTAGCATGTAAATAATCACATTTCTTTAATACACGTACAGCCCAGAGAACTTCAATCGAGATTCTTCTTTACTAAGAACCTGAAATAACTTTCCGGATTAGAAATGCCATCTCTTCAGATTATTTTCACAGATATGGGGCATTACTAAAGGCTTATCCCTTTTAATATGGCCACTTGGAACTGTGTGCTTAAGAATTATATTTGTTGACTACAAATATCCACCAAAAGTTGCCAAATAGCAAGCTTCTATTTTTCATTATTTGTAATTTACCTCGATGCAAATTATCCATTGTTTGAATTTAAAATTCCTAAAAATAATTTTTTTTCTCCATTTATACTCCTATGTGGCATTCACTGATAATTTTAGGAACACTCTGTGGTATGTTGTTTGAACATTTGTGAGTGGCAAATTTAGAAGTTAAATCTCAAATATTACAAGCCAGTATTTCTTGTCTAAAGAGCCTCATTAACTAAAATTTAACATAATTTGATATTAGAATTTAGTCAGTGAAAAAAAAATAAATATTCATAGCAGGCTTCAGGGTATGACTTTAGAAAAGTGAATTCTGAGGCCAGAAATGCCCTCACCACTCCTGAGAACCAGAATACTCTCGGACCTGTCATCTGTCCAAACACATCGAACACAGGTTTCTGTCAGTAAATCAAAATGCCACAGTTCTCCAGCACT